TGTTCTGTTGTTTACTTCGTTCCAACTGAAATGTCCTGGACCATGATAACGCCAAAGCCTGTAGCATGCACCACCTTTGGCTTACCTCACCAATAACATTTATTTGGAAAGTCACGTCTGAGAGACGATCCACTATGTCATATGGGCCTTCCCATGGAGAAGACAACTTAGGAGACTTCCCTTTGGTCTTCCTGGGATTTTACAACCACACCATATCTCGTGGTACAAAGCTGACTTCAGTAGATCTCTTATCATAACATAGCTTCATGGAATCAGCAGAAGTTTCCAAGTTTGAACGCACTTGATGGTGAATATCATCCGTCCTTTCAGATAACGCTTTCACGAACTCTGGCACATTTTCAGGCAACTCTTCATACGGTGGGTGTCCTGTTATCAGGTCCACTGCCAACCGTTGTTCCCGACCACACATCAGCTTTGCTGGAGTGTATCCAGTGGCTTCATGCTATGCTGTTCTATAGGCCATCAACAGCGGAGGGAGTAAGACATCCCAGTCATCTTGGTGGTTGTTACAAAACTTTGCCAATTCCTGTCCCAGTGTCCAATTGTACTTTTCTACCATCCCATCAGACTGTGGGTGAAGTGGCGTTGTACTGGTCTTTCATATGCCAAACAACTTGCAGCATTCATGGAACACAGCTGATTAAAAGTTACGGCCGTGATCTGAATGCAGTTCATATGGCATATCAAACCTGAAGAAGAAATCACTAATAGCCGAAGCTACAGTTGTAGCTTCCTGATTTGGTATTGCATATGCCTCAGGCCACTTGGTGAAATAATTCATCACCACACAAATGTACCTATTTCCAGCACGTGTTTGAAGCAACGGACCAGCAATGTCAATGGCTACTTTTTCTATTGGTGCACCAACTTGATATACCTTTATTGGAGCACGTCCCTTATGCTTGGGTCCCCTTTTAGCACAACATGCACTGCATGTTCTGCACCATTCTTCCACATCTTGTCTCATACCTATCCAGTAAAATCTGTGTCGTAAGTGACTCAATGTCTTCTTAATTCCGAGATGTCCTCCTTTTAAAGTATCATAGGATTGACGCAGCACAACTTCCCGTAACTTTCTCGGTATAACCGTTTGCCAGGTCGTCACTTTCCTATCTGCAGTTCCCCTCTCCGGACAAGAATACCATCTTCAAGCCTCAACTGGTCCCATTGTGCCCAATATGTCTTTGTCACAGGGCTTAAGCTAGACACCTTCTCCCAAGTGGGGCGCAAAACACTTGCTTGTAGAAAATCAATTATTGGCTTGAAATCTTGGTTTTTCTCCTGTTCTGCTTTAATATCTATACTTGGTTCCACTTCACTATCACCAACTCCTTCAGTCTCTTTGACTTCAGCTTGATGACACCTAGTTAGTTCAACCTTTCTTTTGCAGCAATGTCTGCAGTCATTTTTGCAGTCCGTCGGCATTTCCATGAGATTTTCCTTCTCTGTATTCAGTATCATAATTATACTGGTATATCTTTCCGATCCAACGTGCCAGTTGTCCCAAGAAACTTCTTAACTCTCTCACACTGTCTGGTGTTGGCCAATCACACACTGCTTTCATCTTGTCAGGATCAGTTCGCACCCCATGCTCACTTACAATGTGACCCAAGTAAAGCATCTCTTTCTGGAACAAGTGGCATTTCTCGGGATGGACTTTGAGGTTTGCTGCTTTCAAATGCTTGAATACTTCCTCTAGCCAGGACACTTCCACATCAAATGTTGCTGCAAACACAATGACATCATCCAGGTACACTAGGGTTATCCTCCATTGTAGGCCTTCCAGTACTCCTTCCATCAGCCTCTCAAATGTTGCTGGAGCATTGCTAAGACCGAATTGCATCACACAGTATTGCCAGAGACCTTAGCCATAACTAAATGCAGTCTTAGCTTTATCTGCTTCAGCCATACTCACTTGATGGAAACCCAACTTTAATTCCAGAGTTGAAAACTACCTGGCCTCACTTAGGGCATCAAGAGTATCATCAATTCTTGGCAGTGGGTATGAATCTTTTTCGGTTATACTGTTAAGAGCTCTGAAGTCCACACAGCAATGATGGGTCCCATCCTTCTTCTGGACTAACATGATGGGAGCTGACCAGGGACTATCTGATTTCTTGACTATCCTTTCTTTAATTAGGCCATTCAAGACCCTCTCCATCTCTTATCACTTTGCCGGAGCCATTCTCCTTGGAGGGATCATTATTGGACTGTGATCGCCTTTGTTTATTCTGTGCTCTACAAGGTCTGTGCAACCAAGGTCATGATCTCCTTTTGAAAAGACGTCTGCATAATTCGCCCAAAGTTCTCTATCCTGAAGAGCCTGTGATGATGACAAATGGACTATGCTCTTCTTATAGTGGCAGTTAAATGTTCTGTGAGAGGATTTCCTTTTTTTATGGTCGTATTTCTTGCCTTAACATTGACTGGTTCTACCTCCTGGCACACACCCAACAATGCCCATTCCTTAAGTGTCTGCTCGCATTTAGAGAAATTAGCCACTGTTATGGGTACTACTTGATGACCTGTTACAAGTGACCTTCCAATCTTCACGTCTGCTGGCCTGGATGTGTCTTCCACTGCTTCCACAAGCATCTGGCTTCCTTGGAGATGTTCTTTTATTCTACCCCAAATTATCTTTTCTGACATAGGGCGTATTGTAGTTGTCTTAAGTGCTGTGGCATGCAAATCAACAGATGCAGCAACACTTACTGGAGTCTGGCCTTTGTTGTTCCCAAGCGTCATTTTATCAAAGTTAACTACACACTTCCTCGGTAGTAAGTAGTCCAACCCTAATATGCATGTCATTGTCAGCCAAGTATACTTTGTATCTGTCCTTTATGCCCATGAGCTCACTAGTTACCCACACTGGTCCCCACAATCTTGTATAATGTCCTGTCATACCACAGAGCTTCTGGTACTCCTTTGTGATCTAGCATCTTGATACTGACAAGGGGTTGCTGAGATGCAGAATGTATGACAAAGTTGCACTTTTGGCCATCCAGCTTTCCTGTCACGTAGACACTATGTGTGCTTGGCATTTTACACTTAGATGTTGGGACTTTCACGATGGGGTTGGTGGGCATCCCTCAGCACCAACCACTACTGGTTTCCCGGAGCTGACTTATTGGTGGTATTCTTCTTACACTGGCTCCTCATATGTCCTTGCTCTCCACAGTTCCAACAACCTTTCTGGGTAGCAGCCTTTCCTGTCACGGCATCTTCCCTGTGTTCAAGTTTCCAGCAGTGAGCTCTCTTGTGCCAAGGTTCGTTACAGTGCCAGCAAATCCCTCAAACTTCTCTGAAAGCTGCCCTTTTCTGACCTTGAATCCTGATGACTGTACCAACCTTGGTACCTTTGTGCTGGACTTAATGTAGGATTCGAATTCAAGAACTCTGGCCATTGCATCTTGCATAGTAGAGAGGTGTGCTTGCTTTACTTG